GAGGGGGCGCCCCGGGCCCGCCCCAGCCCCAAGGCGGCTCTGCGGGAGCTGTGAGCGGTAGACGAGCGTGCGGGAGAGGAAAGCTGTGCCTGGGGGAGCAGCGCTGAACATAGAGGGGCTTTCTGACAGCCGAGGGGCATTTAACGTGGCCAGGGAAGTTAAAGCAAGTGACAGTGAAACGTGGTAGAAGCAGGAAAAGAGAAAATGATAAAGAGCAGCGCTGAACATAGAGGGGCTTTCTGACAGCCGAGGGGCATTTAACGTGGCCAGGGAAGTTAAAGCAAGTGACAGTGAAATGTGGTAGAAGCAGGAAAAGAGAAAATGAGAAAAAGAGTCAAGATGGCTGGAGAAGAGCAAAAGCAGAGCTGCTGACTGTGAGGGAGGACCGGGGATCCAGAGCCCCCACTGCCCTGGGTGTTATGCAGTACCGTTGTGGGCGCAGGTCACTAATGTCAGTGCGAGAGGCCCCGCAGGACAAGCGGGGTGGTGGGTCTGGCCCAGGGACTGGTCACAGGCTGGCGCAGGAGGGACACGTGCGCCTGGCTGTTTTCTGTGGGCCTGCTTAATGGCGGTAATGAAATAAGTGGTGATGCGGAACTGGGGAGTCATAACAAACACGAGGATTAACAATATCCTAAGGGAAGGCCGGGGTGATCTGTGGGCCGAGATAATTGGAGTAGGAGTAACTGTAGTAATAGCGAGTGCAATTAGTCTCATGAAGGACCTCCCTGCATAAGTCGGCTCTCCCCCACTCGTGAGGGGGAGGAGATCGACATGTGTTAGCGAGCCTCCAGCTGCCATCTGATAGAGCCGAGACAGCGGCAAGTCTGATACCAAACAAGGTTTTCCAGGCAGAGGTGGGGATTGTGCGAGGCACTGACCAGGTCTCGGCTGAGCACGGCCTGCCGACAGGGTTTGCCGTGCTGGGGGCGGTGAGGTGGCATGGGGCTGGCACGGAGAAGGGGGTGGGGAACAGAGACCCTGGCTCACAAGAGGGGATTTAAAACAGGACCTGGCTTTGGGATGGAGCTTGGTAAGGTTTAATGAGGATGTGGGGAGAGGGCAAGGAAGAGAGAGACTACTGCATGAGAGGGGAGGTGACGGGGGCTGAAGATGCTCTTCTCCCTTTTTCATGCTTCCCTGATGAGGGAGAGGTTGGCAGGCATGGGCAGGAGGGGTGTTCTTGGCTTTGGGGGCTTGGGAGGAGGATCAGGTTTGGCAACATCTGAGCCCTCACTCCAGGTTACAGGACTGAGGCTGCTCTTTGCTCCTGCCTGGGGATGGGCAGCAAATGCCTCTGTGTGCCTTGCTGTGTCAGGGGCTTCTGCAGGCAGGGACTCCCTGGTCTGTGACCTTGACAGCCACTGCAGGCACCCACACTCGGTGCATCATCTCCAGGTACTCTGCCTGGGAAGTGCAGAGAGAACTGCTGCCCATGGCATCAGGAGGACAGTGCGAGTCAATAGCTGACTCTGTGGTCCCAGACTAAGCACCTCGTGCTTCTGCGTGATACATGACCTCATCCTTCTACTTTGCGGTCAGTCATTTCGGCAGAGGCACCCAGCCACGTGTACTGCCAGCATCCCCAGGCATTACAGCCTGTGCTCTTCCTGCCCACTCCCTGTCCCCAGTGGGTGACTCCAGGGGAAAGCTGCAGCCGAAGGGGCAGGGGGAAGCGCTGTGCCCACGGTCACAGTGACGTGGCGCCAGAGAGCGAGGAAGTGGTGAGTGCTTGGGGAAGTGGAGGTCTGGGCTTGTAGCCGGCTCCACAGTGTGATCCTTCTCTGTGTTCAGAGCAGCTGTGGTCCCTGTCCCTTTCACAATGTGTTAGAGGAGATGGGACTGATTTTTCTGTGGGATTTTGCTGCCGGGAAGAGACCTGTCCTGTCCTTGAGGAATGTGGCTGCTTCCCCGTACTGTGACTGGACCTTTCTCTATTCTGCTGGTGTCACTGCCTCCTCCTTTCTGAGGGATCCCTTGTGCGGTGGCCAGGCAGGCTGCTCGTGAGCCAGTGGTGCTGCTCATGAGCAGGGTGTGAGACAGCGTATCTGCTGAAGGCTTTGGAGGCTGCTCTGTCCTCGTGCTAGCTGTGGTCGGCAGCGACTTTGGGTCAGGGTGAGCTGCAGCTGCCCAAAAGGGCTGTCCAGAGGGCTGAGTGCTGTAGCTCGGCTCTCTTCAGGCCACGGCAGTGCCGTTGACGGGGGGGTTCTCTCCCTAGGGCACAGCGTTGCTGTTGCCTGTGGTGTGGAGCTGGTTTATCAGGAGTGAGAGGGAACCAGTGCTTGCCAGGCGTGTGCCTGTCCATTGCCAAATCTCCTTGCCATGTGGGTCACTTGCAGTAATGGCCGGGCTGTGTTCGGGCCCAGAGGGGCTGACCTGGGAGCCCGGTGCAGCCTCAGCTTCCTCCGCACAGTGGGAGCGGTGCTGAGGTGTCTCCTCTCTCTCTCTCTTCTCCCAGCCAGGGGTGATGCCATGGCCGCTGCGAGCTCCAGCAGGGCCAGGGCTGGGCCACCCTGCGAGAAGTCCCAGCTCTCTGTGAAAGGTGGGTCCTGCCGCCTCGCCGGAGGTGGGGCCGGGAGCCCCACGGTGGGGAATGTCGTTTTCGGGTGCGTCTGGTCCGGATGTGTGCTCTGCCTGCACCCCGGGCTGGGAGACCTTCTCGGGGGATGCAGGGGCTGGGGAAGGCCAGCACTGCCCTGCGTCCCATGCCTGCCCAGGGAAGCAGAGTGGCTGCTCTCCCCAGTTGCTGTCAGGATGTGGCTCCGTGGCCGCGAGATGGCTCCCGACGCCTGGAGCTGCGTCCCCAGGGCAGCCCCGGCACAGGGCACCGCTGGCCTGGGGGGTGGCTGAGCCTCGCCTGCTGCGTGTCTCTACCCAGCAGGTCCAGCAGAGCCCCCCTTGCCCCGAGTTTGCCCACAAGCCTGGGGTAGGGTGGTGTCTGTGGGGACCGTGACACTCCTGCAGCCTTCAGGTGTGGGTGAAGCTGGAGACAGGCAGTGATCAGGGACAGGAGGGCCGGAATCCGGCCATTGCTGCCATCAGGAGAATTGCTGCTCGCTCCCAAAAGCAGTTTGACTCTGCTGTGAGTTGTGGCACCCTGAGTTGGCAGGGATGGGGGGTGGGGGGACATGGGGAGCAGGGGACAGGGGCTCCCCTGAGGCTACCTGACCCTCTGTCTCTCCCCGCTGCCCAGTCGTGTCTGTGAAGCCCAAGGTGCACAGCCGCCCATCGCGGATGAACTGCTACGTGGAGGTGGCGGGCGACGGGCTGCCCAGCGAGACCAAGAAGACGGGGAAGCAGATCGGGAGCTCTGAGCTGCTGTGGAACGAGATCCTCATCCTGTAAGTCTCCGTGATTCCCCGGTGTAGGAATGGTGCCGGAGCTGGCACCGTGCTCCCCGGTGTATGCCGCTGTGCCGTTGGCTGTGGCTGCTCAGATGTCAGACATCTTTGCCCCCCGGACAAGGATGCTGCTAGGGACAGCCAGGCTGGGAGGGTGGCAGGACAGGGGGTGTCTCCCATTGCCCCACGGCCTTGCCCACTTCTCTCCACTCCCTGACTTTGGCAGCACTGGCACTGCCCACCCCCCGAGCAGGGATGAGGCCACAGTGATGACCCCCTTCTCTGGTCTCTGCAGGACTGTCACAGCTCAGAGCCACTTGGACCTGAAGGTGTGGAGTTGTCATACCCTGAGGAACGAGCTGC